ACTTCGGGGTTTCCTGGCATATTAACTATGAATTTATAACGATGTCTTGAGACGTTAAGGGCAGAATAGGTGTGAAAACCACGTCATGATATAACTGGAATACTGTCAAAAAAGTGGTTGTAGATCAAACACACTCGCTACTTTCTACAGTATCGGTTGTTGAAACCTTTATGATCTTAATAAAATCGGAGTTTTATGTCCTGAACGCACTTATGTAATTCATCAAATTCACACTTGACCAAAAGGACGTATGGAATAATTCCTTTTCAAAATGATGTACATACATGAATCATAAATAGTATGTCACGTAGTATGTAACGTTTACGGTATCGTGAAGAAAACGTCATATTTTCCCTGCTAAAGGTCTCTGCAAAGTTACAGCTGGGGCGATTCGTTATGACGTGAGAAATGATGAAATTTGTGACCAGACGCAAGGTGTGAACTCAGCTGGTATGACACGCTAATTTCATCATGTCCCTGGCCATTAGGAACACTGATTTATATTGACAATAGAAAGGTGAGGTGAAATTGGGTTTAACGTCGTGCTTGAGAATATTTCGCTCATATGACGATGTGCATGCGTGTGTATGTGTATGTGCGACTGCTTGTACTAGCCCAGACTGAAGCTGGTTTTATAGTGCTAGCCCACTGAGATACCATGACGCAGTGAAGCATGAATACCCACTCAGACACATTATACTGACTCCGAGCCGACCAGTCCTTGTTGTACCCATTAATGCCGAGCGCCAGGCAGGGACCAACAAGTACCATATTTTAACGTCTTTTGGTATGACGCGGTCGGGGATCGAACCCGCGACCTTCCGCTCTCCGGGCAGACGCTCTAACCACTACACCACGTAGGCGGTCGACAATAGCAACACTTCTGTGAACAGCGCATCCTATACACCCAAAGCTCGAAATGCTAATACAAAAATTTCAAATTTCAAATTTTAAAACAATAATTCTCAATTAAATAGATCATTCATTACAAAACCTGTTGCGGATCAACTATTCCAACAGCCGCTGGGGGTTCATGGCCTATAGCAAAGAAGTAAGCTACAAAGCGCTGCCAGGATAGAACAGTTGTACGGGCAATACTTGGTGTCTTGCAAGCCAAAACTCTCTGGTAGAACACCTGAACCAAAACAAATCAGTAACGTTCAATGGTCACATGAATCAGTAACCTGTAAAACAAATGATTCATGGTAACGTTCACACTAAACAACTGAACCTGTAAAACAGTAACGTTCACATAAACAACTGAATATCAGTCACATGATACAATCACACACACACAATCACATGATATCAGTAACGTTCACACTCAACACTAAACACATGATATCAGTGTTCACACTAAACAGCTGAACCAGAGATCAGTCACATGATATCAGTAACGTTCACACTAAACAACTGAACCAGAGATCAGTCACATGATATCAGTAACGTTCACACTAAACAACTGAACCAGAGATCAGTCACATGATATCAGTAACGTTCACACTAAACAACTGAACCAGAGATCAGTCACATGATATCAGTAACGTTCACACTAAACAACTGAACCAGAGATCAGTCACATGATATCAGTAACGTTCACACTAAACAACTGAACCAGAGATCAGTCACATGATATCAGTAAGTCACATGATATCAGTAACGTTCACACTAAACAACTGAACCAGAGATCAGTCACATGATATCAGTAACGTTCACACTAAACAACTGAACCAGAGATCAGTCACATGATATCAGTAACGTTCACACTAAACAACTGAACCAGAGGTCAGTCACATGATATCAGTAACGTTCACACTAAACAACTGAACCAGAGGTCAGTGGTGAACAGTGAACGTTCAGTTGCTAATCAGTAACGTTCACACTAAACAACTGTTAGAGATCAACATGGCCTACTGTATAAAGAAATGGTTTTGCTCTCTTGTAATAGTACATTGTTAGCCGGAGTTCTTCTTCTCTCCTGGTGGGGAATTGGATGGGGCAGATCCGTATCTTTATATTTTCAAATTTGTCAACATACATTATATTTCGTAATTCTCAACTGTAAACTTGTACTTCTTAGTCTAGGATATTTCATACTGTAATGAAATTCACTTACAGGTTTTAGATATTGAAGTCTTTGAGAGGTATTTAGAAGTTGGATGAACATGAATACATGAACTCCTAATGTTCTTTGTTACCTGATAAAAGCAGCAAGAAGTATCTCTTGCAGTTGAAATAAAAAGCAGCTCTGAAACGCTGCTTAAAAGCAGCAAGAAGTAGCTCTGAAACGCTGCAGTTAGAAATAAAAGCAGCAAGAAGTAGCTCTGAAACGCTGCAGTTAGAAATAAAAGCAGCAAGAAGTAGCTCTGAAACGCTGCAGTTAGAAATAAAAGCAGCAAGAAGTAGCTCTGAAACGCTGCAGTTAGAAATAAATGAAGTTATTATCCATAGCAAATGTCATGTTTTCGGGTTTGCATATTGCTAATGCTCCAGAACGACGAGTTCCTCATATTACAGAAGTTCATGTCCGTAAATGTACCTCAGAGTGTGTCAATCCGAAACACGTGTGAAGTAATAGTAATACTGTTTGTCAACTTGTTTGTTGTAGCCCAACCTATATCGCTGAATTTCATGAATTTTATACTCACGGAAACAAATAAGGGAACACATGAAAGTACAAGTGTTCCTTTATTCTTTTCCAGGGTTCGTCACAAGGTATGTATTGCTGTGGGTGAAATTCTCGAAATACATAAAGGAACACTTGTACTTCCATGTGTTCCCTTATTCGTTTCCATGAGTACATGCATATATCAGTGTGCAGTGTACACTTTGAATGAACTCATCCAGTCACATAGCGAAATGGTGCTGATCAGAAAGGAAACGAGTCGCATCGAAATCATCTGGACGGAAACTGACCTATTCTATAGCTCAGTTCACGTAACCGTCAACGACCTATGCAATTAATACACTATTGAAAAAATAGCACGAAAAACACCTTTAAAGACATGGTTGCCAACTACACTGGGCCTTTTCTGCCGTCAGGTTTCCATAAAGGACATACGTGATGGATTAAATGAGTTCAGCATCAAGTTCATACTTCCCGAAACAAATAATCGAAAATGATTTGGAAGTGATAGTATCAACAAATGTGTAGCATACCTGCCATGGTAGACCGCCAAATATGATTTGGCAACAGAGATCTGCATAAGAACCGATCTGGTTTCTGTGTATCTCACCAACCCAAGTGTCCTGGACTCTGGACAGGTCAAAGTGTAATATCCTTACCAGTCCCACGGAGAGACAGATGAGTTGGATGACATCAGTGTAGGCCACAGAGTACAGCCCACCTATAAAGGTGTAGAACACGGACACACAGCTGGACACGATGATGGATAGAACAGGGTCCAGGTCCAGGATAAGGGACATGGTGGACCCTGTAACATGGGGAAGTTGGGCTTTCAGTTACAGAACATTATTCAGTGTAACCCCTGTTGTGCTTCACACGTAAAATCTCTAAAGCATGGATCATCTGTGTGTTACACTTATACCAAACCTGCAAGACAAGCATGGATCAGTTGTGTGTTACACTTATACCAAACCTGCAAGACAAGCATGGATCAGTTGTGTGTTACACTTATACCAAATCTGCAAGACAAGCATGGATCCTTTTGTGAGTTATAACGGTAGTTCGATACATTATTTGTAAGACTAGCATAATATGACTGTGCAAGACAAGCATGGATCCTTTTGTGAGTTATAACGGTAGTTCGTTACAATTATTTTACTAAGATATACTTTTCTTATCTTATCTTAATCTTTATTATCTGAGGCAGTGTTATGAGTCCATACCAGTGTTTGAACTCAAGCACGGAACCTTTGTTGTGTTACCCCGTTATCAGTTCTACAAGACAAGTATTTATCCTTTGTTGTGTTACCCCCATATCAGTTCTACAAGACAAGTATTTATCCTTTGTTGTGTTACCCCATATCAGTTCTACAAGGCAAGTATTTATCCTTTGTTGTGTTACCCCCATATCAGTTCTACAAGACAAGTATTTATCCTTTGTTGTGTTACCCCCATATCAGTTCTACAAGACAAGTATTCATCCTTTATTGTTTACCCCCATATCAGTTCTATAAGGCAAGTATTTATCCTTTGTTGTGTTACCCCCATATCAGTTCTACAAGACAAGTATTTATCCTTTGTTGTGTTACCCCCATATCAGTTCTACAAGACAAGTATTTATCCTTTGTTGTGTTACCCCATATCATACAAGACAGTATTTATCCTTTGTTGTGTTACCCCATATCACAAGTATTTATCCTTTGTTGTGTTACCCCATATCAGTTCTACAAGGCTACAAGACAAGTATTTATCCTTTGTTGTGTTTACCCCATATCAGTTCTACAAGGCAAGTATTTATCCTTTGTTGTGTTACCCCCATATCAGTTCTACAAGACAAGTATTTATCCTTTGTTGTGTTACCCCCATATCAGTTCTACAAGACAAGTATTTATCCTTTGTTGTGTTACCCCCATATCAGTTCTACAAGACAAGTATTTATCCTTTGTTGTGTTACCCCCATATCAGTTCTACAAGACAAGTATTTATCATTTGTTGTGTTATCCCCATATCAGTTCTACAAGACAAGTATTTATCCTTTGTTGTGTTACCCCTATATCAGTTCTACAAGACAAGTATGGATCCAATTTCACCCTCGATGTTAATCTATATTATCTTAGATAATGCTGTGACAATGACTCTGGACTATCATTTTAATCAAAATGGACCCCGTCCACTCCCACCTCGTATGTTTTTTATGTTTTGGATTCCAGTTCATGTAGCTTTGACTTGTATGATCTTACCCAGAGCTGACAAGATGGCTGCAGTCCAGAAGACATCTCCCATAAGCTGCGGGAAGAAGAGCATACTCCCGGCACGACCGCCAACCTTTGCCTGTATGGGGTCGAACATGGTGATGTATCCACCTCTCCTCATCTTAGGCGCGTAGAACACTCCAGCTGAAGATTTATTTAATATACAGTTTATGTATTTAAATGAAATGAGCTAAAATGACGCTAACCATTTCAAACATAAACTAACGAGGGTGGAAGACAAAACTTGTCACAACTTATTGGTAGTGATTCAAGAACACAACAATGCTAAAATCGGAATCCTACATAGAATTTCTTTTCATACTGGAAATGTTTCTCATAAATTGAAACATGGTGTAGAACATAGACCTCTTGCTCAGAAGGTGTTTGATCACGTTTGCAATATCAAACGCCTTCAAAACATTTCATGGTTGTGCGAGCTATTGTAGGAATTATGTCATTGTTTTGGCTTGTGCCATAGGTTCCAGTGTTTATTCGAGTGGACACATGCCCTGCCTGTGCAAGTGTTTGTAGTTTTCATGCCACTGGTTCCACATCCCGAATCTACCACACACTGGTGTGGCGTCCCGTAGATGGGTAGTAACACAGACCAGTCGCATGTGAAGACTAAACAGACAAACACTGACCTATAAACCTATCATCCATAAGGCAAACACCCGTATAAGCATCCGTTCAGTCAGAAATCACTGCAACTAGAAGCTATGTATGTATGCTGCAGTCCAAATGTCAACGGTTTCTCATCGTGAAACATGTGTGTCCAATTTCCTGGTACTCAACATTTCAGAAACACCTGTTTGTCAAGCTGTGGGAATAAGCTAACATGACAACAAGACTTCAACGACTTTTAATTTCTTGTAACAACGTCCCTAGTCAAGAAATGGTGATACTCGATTACATATTGAATGTATGATTTTACTGTGAGTGGAGTATTGGTTCACCTTGCCAATGTGGTTCATAGGTTCATCTTACCAATGTGGTTCGTTGGGTCAGCTTACCAATGCGGTTCATGGGTTCATCTTACCAATGTGGTTCATATGTTCATCTTACCAATGTGGTTCATATGTTCATCTTACCAATGGTGATTGAGATGCAGTACAGAACAGGAACATTGGTCCACACGAGGCCGCTGTATGCCATCGCCTCCGCTGTGCCGTTGAGGTAGCCTCCCCCGACATTGGTTGCTGAGGACGTGTGACAGTATATCATAAGTTAAGTTTTAGTATGACAAACAGAATCAATTGTAAACGTATTATGAGAATTTTTAGTATGAGTTACAGTATCAATTGTATTGACGTATTATGAGAATCGTATTTAATGGAAAAATAGTATGTCTCTGTCGAAAGTTAAGTATGATCGGATAATTATGAAAGAAAATACTCATGGTTGTTATTAGCACAAAAACTCATAAAAATGAAGTGAGTGTAGTATCTCTACTTGCCAGTAAGTGTAAAGAACGACAGCCACAGCCCGATGCTTCTATTGGCCACGAATGAGTCTTCGGCGTTACTGTTTCTGCTCTTCCTGGCGGCGATGATGCCGATGACGAGGATGAGGACGTAGAACACGATGACGGAGATGAGTCCAGGGATGTTCAGTGCCATGATGACGCAGTTTATGTATTCCTGTAACGCGAACTGACGAAACAAAGAAAGATGTCACAGCTATTATCTGTACACAATCTATCAAACATGAGGGGAGTCCCCTTCGTGGCGGAATGTCCAGAATCTGCATAATTACTAAGCTGTGTTTGATAATGATGATGAGCAATTTTCTGTTAATGAAATACGTTTACATTTGCATTCTACAATGTCAGCCAGTTCGTCCACTACAGTTTTCTGAACTGATCCAAAGGAATTGACTGGTACGACGTAGACTTTTACGCAGGATGCATTGATGTCCCGTCGCAGTTTGAGCATCGACTGAAGTTATGATGAAGTTCCATTGCTTTTGAAACATGTTACAGTTAGCATTTTAATACGCGAAATTTGGTTTTCAAAGTATATATATGTTGAGAAGTGTTATCGTACTTAACTACATGTGGTTCCTCCATGATTAATGCTCATGTGTATATTTAGAGAATTCATCCTGTACAATGTACAGAATGTACATATTCAAAGCCAAGGCATACTCATACAGGAGTGCTTTTCACTCACAATCATTCATTTCGTCTGAGTTATACTGAAGAACTTTAACATCCGGACGCCATAGTCTTGCCATTTATACAACCTGGGTCAATATTTTAGATACAAGGTTCAGAGATTCTCTATTTATTTTCAAATTTTCAAATGTGGTGCAAGGATGAATGGTTAGAACTACTCACCGCCAGTAACACTCAAGACCAGTTCACGTTTGTCTGTATTGATCAGCAGATCGGTTATTACTTCAGTACAGTTAATGCCCCTTGTTGTTGGATACCGATCATGGATCATCTGTGAATAATGTGGTCTTGATCAGACAATCCAGTGATAGACCATCATACACATCAATCCAAAACAGGATACGACAATGAGAAAAAGGGACATGTTTATGATCAATGTATGTGGTCCCATCTAAAATGTGCAAATTAGCTTTAATGTGGGTGGCAGGGCCATACCCTTTGACATTTTAAAATGTCGCGTTGTCGCATTAGCCCCCATTCATAAATAAAACAAAAAAGCATTCAAAGGAAGTTACAGTTGTTAAAAACAAAAGGTCATATATGAAGCATCATCAGAATACGGTCCGGCAAACGTATCGTACTCGGTGCTTATTTGCGGACTGCTATCGGGAGCTTGTTATGCCAATCTCACAACCTACAGACCCGTGCCAGTTATATTCGGACACTTGACGTCATTTCCATAGACTTACATGTTATTTCAGTGTAGCATAAATAATGTTTATGAGGTGAGTTTACGATAGATCTTTGTAAAATTTGACAGGCAAATTTGAAATCATCTCTTGTCTGCGCACATAATTTCAGTTCAATTTTCCGACCACTATTTAACTGACTGACTGACTGAGTTTTGGTTTTACGCCGCTTTTAGCAATATTCCAGCAACATCACGGCGGGGGACACCAGAAATGGGCTTCACACATTGTATCCATGTGGGGATTCGAACCCGGGTCTTCGGCGTGACGAGCCAACGCTTTAACCATTAGGCTACCCCACCGCCCCTATTTAACTAATGACATCACATTTATCAACTTACGTATAGTTCCACACTGCACAATCTCATAGGCCGCCATGTTAAAGGAGCTCACGGCACTGTACATATGTTGATTAAATTGTTGCCATTCAATAAATAAGCAACGGAAAATTAAACAGAAATTATGTGATTGTAGGTAAGAAATGTGCAAAATTTGACTTGGATCATACGAAAATTAAATTAATGAAAATTATTTATGCTACACTAAATTAGCATGTGAGTCTATGGAAGTTACGTCAAGTGTCCGAATATAACGGGCACGGGTCTGTACATGTTTTGTTTAAAGTTACAATAATATACATACAGTATACACCCATACAAGCGATAAAATCCATTGCACAGCCATAACACCATAATGAGGACAATGTTTACCACATATGTGTCAATTCAGAAATTATCCATCCACCAGAACACAATTCGAAATGTTTACTGAAACCTTCCATGTTGTAACCGTTCTGGCCCAGAACATTCATTTACTTCCGCCGGCTATTTGTTGCTTAACATTGAACTGTAGATACAAAGGGCTATCAAAATGTTTTGAGCCTAAAATACTTCTGATATGTTCATGATAAAAATAACTGTATGATATTGATGTACTGTACTGAGTCCCATGGGGTACTCATACTGCTGTCAATCGCTCTTCAATGCGCTTCGCCGGGTTGCCCCGACAAAAACTTTATGACTGCTCTGTACCCAAGCTTATCAATTTCTGCCGTTTCAATAGAGGTTTAGATTAGATGTCACGTGACCGGAAACTAGCGACATCTGCATGTCAATATTACGTGTATTTGAATGATATAAACCATTCTTCAATATCATACAGTTATTTTTATCATGCACATATCAGAAGCATTTTAGGCTCAAAACTTTTAGCCCCTCGTGATTCACCCTAACTGGGATTAAATCAAGTGTAATGAGTGAGTGGCGGAGTGCTGCTTTAAGTAATATTCCTGCACTAACACGGCTTCACATAATGTGCCCTTGCCATTATGAGAACCCCGGCCTTCCGTGCGATTTTTTTTAACAACTGATTTATGGCGCCCTTAAACTCACCGTAAACCAGCAGTTCATACACTTGGACACACAGACCCTTAACGCGCTCAGTCAGCATATGAAGAGACATACGACAAAACACAACGTAATGCCTGAGGTCAGTGATATAGCCGACGAGCAATGTTAAGATAATGAATCCTACATTAAGTACGTGTGTACTGGACTGGCTGTCGCGACCACTGTCAAAAGCGTGAGAAAATCTGTATGGGATTAACACGCCGACATGTATCATGTTTCCTGTACTGTGGAACTGGCTGTGGGACTGCATCGATTCCTGGAACGTACACCCAGGGGAAGGTAACACAACGAGACGTCAACGTCAAATACCAGAGAATTTACACATAACACAATTCCAAACATGAATTACAATATGGGCAGTAGGTGTATTTCAAATTGTGTATATAGCAAATGTAATGATACAGCTTTCTTACCCGTGTAGTTGCAGTTGAAGACGGGACCTAACTAGGGCATGAATACAGAAGCTACAATGACCTACCCAGGCCCATTTCCTGATATCACAGGCTGAAAATAGACTATCTAAACAAGCAAGTCTGTTAATCATTGAATCAACATGATATCTGTACACTTGTGACGAAGGCGACATCGTATTGCACTTTCATTATTCTGCTTTCTGCACATTTCGCCTAGTTGAAATATACAGCTTCAGTCAATACAGTTTCCCTGTGTGGTGTATACAGCTACTATGTACACAATTACTCTCTCTGGTGTATACAGCTACAACATACACAGTTACATTGTCTGGTGTATACAGCTACAATATACACAGTTCCCGTGTCTGGTGTATACAACTACAATGTACACTGTTCCCCTGTCTGGTGTATACAGCTACAATATACACAGTTACTCTGTCTGGTGTATACAGCTACAATATACACTGTTCCCCTGTCTGGTGTATACAGCTACAATATACACAGTTACTCCGTCTGGTGTATACAGCTACAATATACACTGTTCCCCTGTCCGGTGTATACAGCTACAATATACACTGTTCCCCTGTCTGGTGTATACAACTACAATATACACAGCTACCCTGTCTGGTGTATACAGCTACAATATACACAGTTTTCCTGTCTGGTGTATACAGCTACAATGTACACAGTCACCCTGTCTGGTGTATACAGCTACAATATACACTGTTCCCCTGTCTGGTGTATACAGCTACACTATACACTGTTCCCCTGTCTGGTGTATACAGCTACAATCTACACAGTTACCCTGTCTGGTGTATACAGCTACAATATACACTGTTCCCCTGTCTGGTGTATACAACTACAATATACACAGCTACCCTGTTTGGTGTATACAGGTACAATATACACAGTTTGCCTGTCTGGTGTATGCAGCTACAATGTACACAGTTACCCTGTCTGGTGTATACAGCTACAATATACACAGTTACCCTGTCTGGTGTATACAGCTACAATATACACAGTTACCCTGTCTGGTGTATACAGCTACAATGTACACTGTTCTCCTGTCTGGTGTATACAGCTACAATGTACACAGTTACTCTGTCTGGTGTATACAGCTACAATATACACTGTTCCCCTGTCTGGTGTATACAGCTACAATGTACACAGCCCCCCTGTCTGGTGTATGCAGCTCCAATGTACACAGTTACCCTGTCTGGTGTATACAGCTACAATGTTTAATGTTCCCCTGTCTGGTGTATACAGCTACAATGTACACAGTTCCCCTGTCTGGGGTATACAGCTACAATGTACACAGTTCCCCTGTCTGGTGTATACAGCTACAATGTTTAATGTTCCCCTGTCTGGTGTATACAGCTACAATGTACACAGTTCCTCTGTCTGGTGTATACAGCTATAATGTACACTGTTCCTCTGTCTGGGGTATACAGCTACAATGTACACTGTTCCCCTGTCTGGTGTATACAGCTACAATGTATACAGTTCCCCTGTCTGGTGTATACAGCTACAAGGTACACAGTTACCCTGTGTGGTGTATACAGCTACAATATACACAGTAACCCTGTCTGGTGTATACAGCTACAATATACATAGTTGCCCTGTCTAGTGTATACAGCTACAATATACACAGTTACTCTGTCTGGTGTATACAGCTTCAATCTACACAGTTCCCCTGTCTGGTGTATACAGCTACAATGTACACAGTTACCCTGTCTGGCATATACAGCTACAATGTACACAGTTCCCCTGTCTGGTGTATACAGCTTCTATATACATAGTTACCCTGTGTGGTGTATACAGCTACAATATACACAGTTACCCTGTCGGGTGTATACAGCTACAATATACACAGTTACCCTGTCTGTGTATATACACAGTTCCCTGTCTGGTGTATACAGCTACAATATACACAGTTACCCTGTCTGGTGTATACAGCTACAATATACACAGTTCCCCTGTCTGGTGTATACAGCTACAATATACACTGTTCCCCTGTCTGGTGTATACAGCTACAATATACACAGTTACTCTGTCTGGTGTATACAGCTACAATATACACTGTTCCCCTGTCCGGTGTATACAGCTACAATATACACTGTTCCCCTGTCTGGTGTATACAACTACAATATACACAGCTACCCTGTCTGGTGTATACAGCTACAATATACACAGTTTTCCTGGCTGGTGTATACAGCTACAGTGTACACAGTTCCTTTGTCTAGTGTTTACAGCTACAATATACACAGTTCCCCTGCCTGGTGTATACAGCTACAATGTACACAGTTCCTTTGTCTAGTGTATACAGCCACAATATACACAGTTCCCCTGCCTGGTGTATACAGCTACAATGTACACAGTTCCCCTGCCTGGTGTATACAGCTACAATGTACACAGTTCCTTTGTCTAGTGTATACAGCTACAATATACACAGTTCCCCTGCCTGGTGTATACAGCTACAATCTACACAGTTCCCCTGCCTGGTGTATACAGCTGCAATGCTACAATACACAGTTCCCTGCCTAGTGTATACAGCTACAATATACACAGTTCCCCTGCCTGGTGTATACAGCTACAATCTACACAGTTCCCCTGCCTGGTGTATACAGCTACAATGTACACAGTTCCTTTGTCTAATGTATACAGCTACAATATACACAGTTCCCCTGTCTGGTGTATACAGCTACAATCTACACAGTTCCCCTGTCTGGTGTATACAGCTACAATGTACACAGTTCCTTTGTCTAGTGTATACAGCTACAATATACACTGTTCCCCTGCCTGGTGTATACAGCTACAATGTACACAGTTCCCCTGCCTGGTGTATACAGCTACAATGTACACAGTTCCTTTGTCTAGTGTATACAGCTACAATGTACACAGTTCCCCTGCCTGGTGTATACAGCTACAATATACACAGTTCCCCTGCCTGGTGTATACAGCTACAATATACACTGTTCCCCTACCTGGTGTATACAGCTACAATATGCACAGTTCCCCTGCCTGGTGTATACAGCTACAATATACACTGTTCCCCTACCTGGTGTATACAGCTACAATATACACAGTTCCCCTGTCTGGTGTATACAGCTACAATATACACAGTTCCCCTGCCTGGTGTATACAGCTACAATATATAGGCTTCCCTATCATGTAAATATATTTCCATAACTACCGTACTGAAACTTCAAAACGACAACACGGTACACATAAACCCAATGACTGCTCCCTTTTTACTGGAAACTTTGAACATGTAAATGTCTCTTGTGAGAAATTAGCGGGTTATAGCGTTATATACGGCCAATGTTATGTCAAACATATGTATATTTACCTGGGATGTGGATCCTAGACTCGTACAACGCTTGACACGTTTGATTTGTGTTCTCTCGCCCACATCCGACACTGCCCAGTCACTTGATTTCACTTAAAACAAGGGAGCATCACATATTTCTAAATGTCACAGAAAAGCCACCGTGCCGACAGAGGGAGACCCAGTGAAACTGCTTGGTTTGATTCACATCTGTACTATTTATAGAAAAGCAATGTGACAAAAATTATCGAGCAGACCTTTAGAAACAGACGTAGAAGTAGAATTCCACCACCTCCCGCTTTTGGTGTGTGCAATTGACAACATTTGAGGTACAACCAAGTTCTAAAAAGCGTCATGCGACTCTTTCTCCAACTCTGATAAGAATGACAACATTCAAGGCCTCAGTGGAGCTTTCAAAACCTTTCATGGTGGACATGTTGAGGCCATTTCTAAACGTCCCTTATAGCTGAAATGGTGTCCGATGCTATTCCCGATTTGGACGTGTACCACATGGTCTGTTTCGTTTTGTTTTTGTTAATTGTCACAGAAAATCCTTCTATCAGTACTATGTGACTGGGATTAGTGAACAGATACCAGTAATGGAAATCGCACGCACGCACGCACGCACGCACGCACGCACACACACACACACACACACACCGCACCCGCACCCCCACCCCCTCAAAAAACACTGAGGCGTGATCCAGCCTTTAATGTCCTGTGAAGTGTACAGGGTATGTCAGACCGCGATACACGACAATATTAAGGGTGTTGAAGAATCAGCCCGCTCAGCAGAGGTACGACGGTACAGAACCAACCTGTACAACAACACAAGACCTGAGAAGATGTTCGACTAATTTATTAGTCAGTCACAGAGTCATGTACAAGATTAGTCTTCTATAGAATATTTACAACGTTTCATCAAAATGTTAAACTCATTTATTGAAGTGGATACATACCAACAACAGCAATTACATTAAACAAGTACGCCATTATATACTTAACCAACGTAAGACAATAGTGTATGCATGACTCAGTGTTATATATCTGACACACTGTACACAAAACATCACTCCAGTTGGCGTTCAAACAGCATACATTCTGACACAGCTTATAATAAAAGGTGAACAGTGTAATAGAATGAAACCAAATTGAAAATAATATTTCGTTAACAGAATATTTGACAAGTGTAAAGAAGTTACAAGGTTAAGCTTCGGGTTAGAAAGCTTTAATAGGAACTCTTATGTGAACAGTGGCTGGTGCTGTGAGCACATGGCCTTTTACAGGAAATCCGACGAGAGTAATCCCCCCTCAGTATATACTGCAAACCTACAACTAATAATGTTGATAATGCTATGTGTAGGGAGTCTCTGTTGGCCAGACAAAATATGTTACAAGAAATACACCAATGTATGTTCAAAGTAAACTTGGATGTACTACCAGTAGCCTACAGTTAAGATACAAAAGTTAAGATGTACTAGCATATAGATACGATTTGACAAGGTAGACAATAGTAAAACTACTTACCTGAATAGACAGCCACAGGGTGATTTGGGACTGTCTTCCGTATTTACACATATTCCACTGACCTCAAATAATCCTATTTTTATTTGGCGTTATTGGAACGTCGATAAGGTTGTCATTGCAAACTTGCCTTATCTCGATTGTTCTATATCATTAGACTGGCGATAAGGTTGTTATTGAGAACTTATCGTGTCTTGCTAGAATTACATAATTTATTTCATTGACGACAATTGTGTTTATGGGTGAGATTCACTCTGGGGTAGATTAGTTGCTCGACTTGTGTGCCAGCGTGTATATGCGCGATACATGTGATTATGAGAATGGATGTCATTGATAAGCACAGCCGTAAATAAATACATGTATTATACCTTGGATCTGTTAGCTAAACTCAATCTGATCAGCACAATACGAGATACCGGTCCCTGATAATAACCGATGTTTGTTATCTCGGCGACCCTTGGCAGGTTTAAGATAATGAAACATGGCGGTTAGTTTTTATATTCACAATTTCCAGACACACGTAACGTAATGCACTATTTGAAAAGCTTTGCCCTATATTCAAGTTTATACAAATCTTGAATGCCTACTTGAGAGTTTGAAGTAGGGACAGTAGCTTGCCTCAGTATCAGTATACTGACAGCAATCAAACCTGCCACGATCATATTACTGAGATAGGATTTCTTGATAATGCTCATGCAATTACTCTCTTTCAATCAAGGATTAGCTAAAATATTTGCAATGGTTTCACTACCATTGAAGAAGAGCATTTCAAAACAAGTTGTTCAAGCCTTTCTCCTGTTCTGATCTGGTATGAAGCTGTAACATAATATCCTCTAGGTGGCCCTAGTTCTGCAGGGTAATGTTAATGTGACGACCGCCTGGTGTGAATATATGTGGGAAATGTTTCTACAGTGTTGCTTCTGAGGTTTAGCTGTTGTGTTATCTGAAGTTACGTCTGTGACGTAAAAGCATTATTTAACGGCAACGCGTAATTATTTCAACTCTCCTCCCCTTTTCCTTCACAGCTACAATGTACACAGTTCCCTTATCTGATGTATACAGCTACAATATACACAGCTCCCTTATCTGATGTATACAGCTACAATGTACACAGCTCCCTTATCTGATTTATACAGCTACAATGTACACAGCTCCCTTATCTGATGTATACACCTACAATGTACACATTGCCTCAGCCTTGTGTATACAGCTACAATGTACACACCTACTTTATCTGATGTATACAGCTACAATGTACACAGCTCCCTTATCTGGTGTATACAGCTACAATGTACATACCTCCCTTATCTGGTGTATACAGCTACAATGTACACAGCTCCCTTATCTGGTGTATACAGCTACAATGTACACAGCTCCCTTATCTGGTGTATACAGCCACAATGTACACAGCTCCCTTATCTGGTGTATACAGCCACAATGTACACAGCTCCCTTACCTGGTGTATACAGCTACAATGTACACAGCTCCCTTATCTGGTGTATACAGCTACAATGTACACACCTACTTTATCTGATGTATACAGCTACAATGTATACAGCTTCCTTATCTGGTGTATACAGCTACAATGTACACAGCTCCCTTTTCTGATGTATACATCTACAATGTATACAGCTCCCTTATCTGATGTATACAGCTCCAATGTGTACAGCTCCCTTATCTGATGTATACGGCTACAATGTGCACAGCTCCCTTATCTGATGTCTACACCTACAATGTACATACCTCCCTTATCTGGTGTATACAGCTACAATGTATACAGCTCCCTTATCTGATGTATACAGCTACAATGTGTACAGCTCCCTTATCTGATGTATACGGCTACAATGTGCACAGCTCCCTTATCTGATGTCTACACCTACAATGTACATACCTCCCTTATCTGGTGTATACAGCTACAATGTACATACCTCCCTTATCTGGTGTATACAGCTACAATGTACACAGCTCCCTTATCTGGTGTATACAGCTACAATGTACATACCTCCCTTATCTGGTGTATACAGCTACAATGTACATAGCTCCCTTATCTGGTGTATACAGCCACAATGTACACAGCTCCCTTATCTGGTGTATACAGCCACAATGTACACAGCTCCCTTATCTGGTGTATACAGCTACAATGTACACAGCTCCCTTATCTGGTGTATACAGCTACAATGTACACAGCTCCCTTATCTGGTGTGTATACAGCTACAATGTACACAGCCCCTTTATCTGGTGTATACAGCTACAATGTACACAGCTCCCTTTATCTGGTGTATACAGCCACAATGTACACAGCTCCCTTATCTGGTGTATACAGCTACAATGTACACAGCTCTCTTATCTGGTGTATACAGCCACAATGTACACAGCTCCCTTATCTGGTGTATACAGCTACAATGTACACAGCTCCCTTATCTGGTGTATACAGCTACAATGTACACAGCTCCCTTATCTGGTGTATACAGCTACAATGTACACAGCTCTCTGATCTGGTGTATACAGCTACAATGTACACAGCTCCCTTATCTGGTGTATACAGTTACAATGTACATAGCTCCCTTATCTGGTGTATACAGCCACAATGTACACAGCTCCCTTATCTGGTGTATACAGCTACAATGTACACAGCTCCCTTATCTGGTGTATACAGCTACAATGTACATACCTCCCTTATCTGGTGTATACAGCTACAATGTACACAGCTCCCTTATCTGGTGTATACAGCTACAATGTACATACCTCCCTTATCTGGTGTATACAGCCACAATGTATACAGCTCCCTTATCTGGTGTATACAGCCACAATGTACACAGCTTCCTTATCTGGTGTATACAGCTACAATGTACACAGCTCCCTTATCTGGTGTATACAGCTACAATGTACACAGCTCTTTTATCTGGTGTATACAGCTACAATGTACATATTTCCTCTGCCTGGTGTATAGAGCTACAATGTACGCAGCTCCCTTTTTTGATGTATACATCTACAATGTATACAGCTCCCTTATCTGATGTATACAGCTCCAATGTGTACAGCTCCCTTATCTGATGTATACGGCTACAATGTGCACAGCTCCCTTATCTGATGTCTACAGCTACAATGTATACAGCTCCCTTATCTGGTGTATACAGCCACAATGTACACAGCTCCCTTATCTGGTGTATACAGCCACAATGTACACAGATCCCTTATCTGGTGTATACAGGTACAATGTACACAGCTCCCTTATCTGGTGTATACAGCTACAATGTACACACCTCCCTTATCTGGTGTATACAGCAACAATGTACACAGCTCCCTTATCTGGTGTATACAGCCACAATGTTAACAGCTCCCTTATCTGGTGTATACAGCTTCAATGTATACAGCTCCCTTATCTGCTGTATACAGCTACAATGTACACAGCTCTCTTATCTGGTGTATACAGCAACAATGTACATATTTCCTCCGCCTGGTGTATACAGCTACAATGTACACAGCTCCCTTTTCTGATATATACATCTACAATGTATACAGCTCCCTTATCTGATGTATACAGCTACAATGTATACACCTCCCTTATCTGATGTATACAGATACAATGTACACAGATCCCTTAACTGATGTATACAGCTACAATGTATAGAGCTCCCTTATCTGATGTATACA